AAACTTGAACGTGACAATTCTGATCAGAAAAAAAACCTAGGACTTGATAATAGCCTAAATTCAGTACAGGAAATAGTAGGAATTCTGCTGGTGTGCAAGTGTGCGTGTATATGGATGAGTCTCCTCTTCCTGTAAGGTCTGTAGCTTATGTAGGTCAGCTCCACTGAGTAACGTTCTCTCTAGATGCATGCTTGGGTTCGACGCATGAAATCATCTATAGGGTGCAACGACAATCAGCAATGCCTGTGCACATAACCTTCAGGGGCAAACAAATATCCTCATTTATAAAGCATAACGCACATGTTATATGCGGAACACAGTGAAAATTTACATGCAAAATGGCTGTCATGAATAATTAATATGTAAATGAGTTATTTATGTCATGTTATCTCCACTCTACATTATATACGGACTCATCCGTGGCATGTGAAAACCTTCAAAGTCTTATTTACCCAGAACAGATTTAATTTCATCCAAATCCTTTCGTTTAATGATGTCTAATGATTAATTAAATCTGTTGTGCCTTTCCTAGCTTTAATGAGGCACATGATTATGCGGTCCGTTAATTGAAACGAGCGCATTCAATCACTGGATTCCTCAGAGTATGGCTGAGAGTGTCAGAAAAATATACTGATGCATTTTACTTTTGGTAAATTAATACTGACATCTGCTACATGTGTTAGAGCTGTGGGAGTAGAGTGCCACGCGAGGTAAAAAAATATCATTTGTCATCTGTTTATGGCCAAGATATTTTGCCGAATACACATAATCATGAAATTTTTTTCTGTATTATATACAGTAAGACTTCACAGGAATATATATATATATATATATATATATATACTGTATATGAATATATATACACACACACACACACACACAAAATATACACACAGAAAACAAAAAATACATAAAAAAAAAATATATATATATATATATATATAATACATGCATGATATATGAAAACTAGATTTGCTCATATGCAAAATAACTGAAAAATGACCCCCAAAACAGCAAACAGACCTTGTATATTCACTTAAGGTTCAAATGCACAATTATAAGTTAAAATGAGCCACTTCAGGAGCCCTAGAGGCACAAATTGCTGAGGCCCAGCATTATAACACTGCATAATTATGGGAACCGCTGGAGACGGTGTCTGTTGTGTCACTGGAAACAATAGAGGAAGCCCATTTTAGCTTATGTTAGCCTTTAGCAAATATTACAACTTTTGCACCTGCAGCATCAGCTGCCTGCCTGATAATTGGATCATATACCTTAATAAATATGATCCTCTCTCGGGACATTTTGCAGAGGAATAGCATTTTTAATTATTTGGTCATGCTCATTTTCAGTATAATGAAGAACTTAGAGGTGTTCATAACACTGTGGCCTAACCTGGCATGACGCAATGTGACACGTTTCTAGCTAAATGTAATTTATTCATCCAAATTGAAAGTCGCATGACACAACACAATCACAGTCAATCAGAACAAGGCAATATTGATACTCCTCCAAAAAGAATTCCCCAACAATTAATTCAGCATGAACCATACAATGACTTGATTAAAATGTTGTTCTGTAGATAATTGTCTAGAGTCTATTTTTGTTCCATTGATACTTTAGCATTCAAAACACCCAACAGTGATGATATCATTGTGATGTGTGCATACCGAATTCCAATTGGTATCCTTTTTAATATCTATTTGTGTACAGAATTGTGATTGGATTTGGCTTTCCTGCATATATTTAACCATTTATATCCTGCTTTACATTGCACTGCAACCATGTGTTAATTCTTATGTGCAGCAGATAAAAAAAACTTTAACACTTTTGGGAGCAGGATTTTGGACCAATGAAATGTCACTGTGGGCGGGGCAACCCAGCAACTAAATATTCTGTTGCTAAATGCAAATGTGAATGGTTGGGACAAAAACTCAGAATCTCAGATTATATGATCGAGATTTATTTTATTACTCGTCCCTTTTTACTTAGTTTGAACATCTAGCTAAGGAACATTTCTGGAATTTATAAAAAAATTAGGTTATAAGGTGGTTTTCACAAACATCAAAGAAAGGTGAGTTTATCCCACTTACCAATATCAGCGTCTTTGTGATTCTTTATGATTTCCGCAAGCTCAAAATTTCCAGCAATTATTGCCACCTTTAAAAAAAAAAAAAACATGGCATATTAGATTCATTACTGGCTTGTTTTTTAAATGTTTCTGAAATAAGTCTCTTTTGTTCACCAAAGGTGCATTTATTTAATTAAAAATAAATACATTTTTAAAAAATTATATTTTAAAATATTTAAAAATAAATTTATTCCTGTGATGCAAAGCTGAATTTTCAGCAGCCATTACTCCAGTCTTTAGTATCAAATGATTTTTCAGAAATCATTCTAATAAGCTGATTTGCTGCTCAAGAAACATTTCTCATTATTATCAATCTTGAAAACAGTTGTGCTGCTTAATATTTGTGTGGAAAGCATGATCTTTTTTTTCAGGATTCTGTGATGCATACAAAGTCCAAAAGAACAGCATTTATTTGAAATAGAAATCTTTTGTAACATTATAAAAGTCTTTACTGTTACTTTTGATCAATTTAATGTGTCCTTACTAAATAAAAGTATTCATAAAAAAAAAAAATCTTACCCCAACCCCAAATATCTGACCCCAAAATTTAGAACGTTTGTATAAATACCATAATACAGTGCAGCAGGAACTTACTGCCTAATATCTCCTTTTGCATTTCAAGATTTAAAAAAAAAGTCATACAGGTTTGGAACAACTGGAGGGTGAATAAATAACAGAATTTTAATTTTTTGGTGAACTACTCCCAGCAAAGCTTAATGTATCCTCAAAAGGGTCTTCACAGCAATGAAACAAAAAAAGTTTAAATAGCACGACTACCCATTCAGCAGAGGTTAATTTCTATTTAATGGCTTTAATTTTACCACCCTTTAAAAAGTTACGCAGTTTATTATAAGATCTATAATTTACACATCAGTCTGGTCACCAAGTCTGGTCATGAGAACAAAACTGGGTTTTAAATGGTGCACAAAGGCACAGTAAACCATTACTCTTGTGGGTTTTGGAGTAGTGTATTCCTAAGAGTGATAAAACACAGACTTCATTCACATTACACTAAATTAGTTGCTAAGATTTACATAATGAGCTTGAAAAGAACTGCATTCCTTTTCTAAAGAAATACAGTGCTTGGCTGCAGCTTAGAGCTAAAGTTAGATTAATTAAATATAAAAAAAAAACAACAGAAAGGTAAGTCAATTGGCACAGTAAGGCCTAATTCTGAAACAAAAAGGTCAAGAAATTTGTTGTACCGTTAAATAAATTTACACAAGCAGTTTTGGATGGTCAGACGTACGAAAGCACACACTGTTGAGTAAGAACCGGAACATTTCGGTTTGCCATTGACCCGTATCATCATTCTTAGAATAAAAGGGTAACGGTAATACAATTTGCTCAGCACATATTCGATTTTGCCAGGGAAAAGTCCTGTTTAACCAGGCGGATCGGAGCGTTCCAGCGGAGAGCCTGAAGTTTCATGAGCTGCTTAAATGAGTTGTAATCTAGCGATCGCCGGGGCGTGAAATATGATTTTAGCAGCATGAGATGAATAATACAACGCATTAAACAATGCATCAGGAGAGCACTGATATGTACATTACATAAACACTTCACTCCTACATCAGGTTTGGAGTGAGCAGGGTCAGTTCAAAGCTTTAGAGGTTGTAAACCGAGCAACTAGCACAACGAGGCCAGCCATGAACACTAAATGTAGCAGCAAGTGTAGCTAATGTTTGGCTTGATGCGCTTGACTGTACAGCCGACTGCAAAACTAATGATCTCAGCTCTATTTTAATGATTTTGGAGGTTTGCCATTGGATTACTGTTGCGATATGTGCCATCTTGCTAATAAAAGCCACAGTTTTCCTTGAGGCACAGACAACAACATATATTTCAGTACTGTAAAGGCATACATTCAAACCAATTATTTTTTCCGCTCTGGATAATGCATTGAAAAACAGAAAAGGTGTATAAACTATAACCATGAACTAAAAAAAATACCATAAAAGTTAAATGCTACATAGTCAAAAAAGCTTTTGCTGGATGAACAGGTCTGTGCACTGTGAAATAAAACTATGAATTAAAATGCAATGTGATAGATGTGGCGAAGAGCAAAAAGGATACGGAGATTTCTGTCAAGGAGGATGCATTTCAAAGGGTTAAGCTTTCATTATGTGGGTGTTTTAGTACAGTACTGATGTTGGCGTGTTTGCTATTAAAGGGTTTACTGTACATGTTATTTTGCTATCTGCATTTGCTTAAAAGCTTTAATAATTCACTTCATTATGGTAGTAATATGAGGGGTAGGGATTATGGGTTAGGATTATGTTATTTTAATAGCAACTGAACTCAAAATAATCAAAAAAATTTAATTAGAAGTGGGTACTTAAAAGATTAGATCTGAAACAAATCCTATTATAATATATCACAATGTAAAATCAATCATATACATGAAATATTATAAGCTCCTATATCACCTGTATCCTGTAAACGTGTATGTGTGTCATTTTTTCAGTACTTTTATTTGAGCTGCAAGTACATAATTTGTAGTTTGCTTCCCCTGAAAAGTGTAAACACTGTGTCTCTGCATTGTATTAAAAACATTGCAGTTTGTTTAAAGGGGTCATATGATGCAATTTAAATTTTTCCTTTCTCTTTGGAGTGTCGGCCAGACTAACCCAGCAACAGTGGCTCAACGAACGGCATGAGTATAGGGCGTGGCTATCTGTTTGGAATGGGTGGGGCAATCCAACCAATTGAAGACAGAGTTTTTGAGAAACCTGTTTGAAACAATCACTGGAATCACTTCATGAAACACAAGAAAAAGTTTTTGTGTTAATTGTTCATAAATTATTTTAATTTTTTTTGCTAAATTAATAAAAGTTCTGCTTAATGCATAAATGTTTCAAATGTAACAGAAATTCATTCTACTCTTGTTCTGCACTAATAACTTGGCACAAAAATAATTCAATTTTAAATATATTTCTAATAATAATCTCTAATAACTATACTGTAAACCATAATGTTGTCATTAAACAAACAATAAAGCATTCAGGTTATCATAATTTACATAACTAAAAATATCATGTTTTGGCATCATAACTCAAAACAGGTATATTTAATTACTTAGCAGCAAAACTTTTCAAGTTAGTAGTCTAAGTGTTAAGAACTCAAAATTACAATTTATTTAAATTATTTAATCTGTCTCCGTTTAACCTGATTGGTCATACTTGAAGTTTTGCTTGACAAATGCTGACTGGTATATAATAACACAAGGTGGTAAATATTTGGTCTTTGAGAATTTTCCTCAAACAGCGACTCTAACAGACTTATTGGGCCCTATATCATAGACCTGGCGCAATGTGGTGCCAGGCGCGACGCAAGTATTTTTTGCTAGTTTCAGCCCGACGCAGCTGTCATTTTCACGTCCTGCGCCACGTTGTTTAAATAGCAAATGCATTTGTGCCCCAAATATAAAAGATTATTATTGTGTACATAAATATAAAAATGCTTGCATATCATAATGGATAGTCTTTGCAAGTATCAGATTTACGCGCATGAGCAGATCGATTCGCAGAAGCGTTCCCTTTTTCCATTTTTTAATTCTGCCATGTAAATAACTGGCTTTTAAAGGGAATGGGAGATGAGACTCTGATTAGATGAGACCCATTACTCATTAAGAGAAAAGGGACAACCCTTTTAGACCATGCACCGGGCACGCTGACCATTTTTCCCGTCCTTAAACTAGCAAAAGTGGATTCGGACACGCCCCAAGCGCAATTGCGCCGTGCTCTTTAGACCATGCGCTTAGATAGTTAAAATAGGGCCCTTTGTGAAAGAGTATGGAGTATGTTAAATTGGTAGGTTGACGTTAAAATATGTATAGACTTTTCTTAAGTATAGTTCACCCAAAAATGATAATTCTGAGTTTCCTTCTTCTGTTGAGCACAAAAGAATATTATGAAGAATGTTGGTAACCAAACAGTTGATGGCAGCCATCAAAAACTATTTTTTTCCATACTATGAAAGTCAATGGCTACCATCAACTGGTTACCAACGTTCTTCAAAATATCTTCTTATGTCTACCTGGTCTCATGGCAAAAACGTACCTGGGGGCACTTTTTTGCGAGACGTACAAGTACATATCACTGCAGTTTCCAAAAGAAATGAACACTAGAGGCAGTAAAACTCAGACACCTTTTATTCCTTTTCACACAAATTTACAGAGTTTCGATTAATAAAGCGTAATTTTCACACAATTACTTGAAGAATATTATGTTATGACTTCAAAACAATTTTAATATGCTGGGAGATTGATACTTTTTGAACTGATACTTTTGAATGTTAGCATCGCACATATCCAGCTTCATATCTATGAGCTTTCACAGACGGTAGGTTTGTTCGGTAGCTCACGGAGTACGGAGACATACTTGAGAGGCGAGGAGCTCTGGTTCGAATCCCGTGTAACTACGGTTCGACAAAACAGTTCAAATCTGCATATTCAGGGTTCACGTATTGAACCCGTGTTTTAGCACCACTCAGTGAACATTTCTCTTTGAAACTGCGGCGAACCGTGCAGTAAGGTACGTAAAAACGGTGTTACAGAAAAGTACCCAGAGGTACGTATTTTTTTGAGACCAGGTTGTCTTATGTGCACAACAGAAAGAAACAAACTCAAACAGTTTTGGAAGAACTTGAAAGTGAGTAAATGATGACAGAATTTTCATTTTTGGGTTAAGTATCCCTTTAAATCTTATACTTTTTATTCTACTGTTATTTTCAAGGCATGTTCGAGTTAATAGGTTTCTGTCAGAACATTGTTTAATTTCCCAGTCAAACTTTGCCAATGTTTGTGACAATATGCATTAATGACTATTGGCATAAAAATTACTTCGGTTTTGGCTATAATTCTAATAATACAGACGAATGACTATTGGCACAAATATGACTTCAGCTTTAACTATATTTCTAATAATAATCACTAATGACTAGTGGCATTGCAGTCACAGCCATTATTGAAGGCCACTGAACAGTAAACGCAACACTCTCATCAGCCCATGGCCACAGACTTGGATCATGTCCATTGCTGTCAGACAAGCTATTGAATGTCACAATCTGACATTTGAGAAAGAAACTCTTTAAGTAAGCAAACAAAATAACCAGAGATTTTTCTGGGGGGAAAAAAGCAATTACTAGCTAATTTCAACTAAAACATTTAAGAAAACTACAAGAACTGATTTGATGTTCATTATTTCCCCTCTCTAAAATCTAACTCCTAATTATCTGAAGATACCAAAAAGCCCATGCAAACAAATATAATAAAATGATTAATTACCCTCACGCTCACTCATTGTTCTTTGAGTGCTGTCTTACATAATGCCTGTGCTTTTGTGTGGCATTGTGTCTAATTAATTAAGAACTCTGCGCGACAGAACAACAAACAGACGCAAGTTCATTCAGCGCTTAGGGTTGTGGTAATTTTTTAACACTAAACCAACAAAATGTACTAAACTTCCATGAGCAAGCTTATTTGAAAAAAAAAAAAAAGTTTTCAGTTATTAAAAAGTAGCCAAGCAAAGAAACACATTGATGTACCTGAAAGGGCGTTTGTCCTCGGTAGTTCTTGACGTCTTTGCTGGCTCCGCGAACCAGAAGAACCCTGGCACACTTTTCCTTCAGAAGAAAAGCAGATGATAGAGAAATGAATTCAATGTGATCCAACTCTACAAGAAAACGTTCTACTATCTTTGCTTCTCCACCTTCTAAGAGCAAAATTAGACACGTCACAAGTTATCCCGCCTCACCCAGATCCAAAAGTGACAGACTTCGCCCGTAGCTTTGTGAAGTCCAATTCAAGTGTGATGCTACAGCAAAGTCTACACCCAAAGAGAAAGGAGAGGGGGACTCTGCAGCAATGCCTATGTGCATGTGTGAACATGAATGTGAGAACCAAAAGCAGAAAGACAGAGCGAGAGAGCGAGCGAGATCCAGGGCTCTGTAGCTCTCCAACCCACTATATCCAGCTGGATTCAACAGCCCACCCACGGAATGCCTCACCACTAAACCGACACACACACACAATCGCACACATACACACACCTCCATTGCCTTCTCCTCCTACCTTCCTTCTAATACTAGTTTCACAGCTGCTGCCAGCCCTTGTATATGAGGCATAATCACATGTGAGGATGCTGCTTCTATTCCCCGCACATGAAAATATCCCTGGCCTGCATTTGGCACCGGTTACAGGTTCCTCGTTGACATGGTGACGGATAGGCACAATCGTGTTTAATCACAAACAATCGAGGCTCGAGAACCTGCCCTTGACTGCAGCGAAACTGACAAACGAGACAAATTAAGCATCTTTCGCCAACGGCTAGCCGAGTGTCAACTTTAATAATAACCCATTGTGGCCGATCATTACAGACGAGCACTTCAAATAACGACCCCACTGGTCGGCTCAGGGTGAGCACGGCATCATATGTGACCACCAGTGAACTCAAGAGCCTCCACAAATCAATAAATGAAACTTCTCATTGGCAGGGCCATTTTCACAACTTAAAATAAACTTTATTTTCTAGTCATAAGAGCAGGGGTGGACCAGGGCGATTTGTTTCAAGTGTATTTAAAGGCATCAGCAATTCAGCATCATACTTAGGAAAGCAATCAAAGAAGACAATATGAATTTCTTTAATTTTGTTGTCATGGTCATTGGTCAATGCCAGAATTTGTTTAATTGATTAGTCCTAGACATCAACTGATGTCCTAAAAATAGAATCCTAAAATTGTTTTTGTTTCCATATTTAAATATATAAAAATGTTAATTAGTCACATTTTTAAAAAATTTGATTAGTGACCTAGAATCCTAAAATTCTGTGTTTTCAGGTTTAAAGAGATTTAATAAATATAATTTAATAATTTAGCTGTATATATTACCGAAAGATTTTATGCAATAAAGATATAAATATATACTAAAAAGAATTTGATATATACTTAAAATATAAAACTTAAATATACTTATATCAAAAACGTATATATTTTATATATTATCTTCTTTTTTTTTTTTTTTTTTAGGGGCGGGGAAGGGTAAATAGAAAAATTTGAAAAATTTTAGGTTTTCCAGTTCAATATATTAGCTCTAGGTGATACCTAGAGTATATAACTATATATTTATATTTATTTAATTTGACGTAGAATGTGAGTGACAGATGTACAGTTTGTTAAATTTTAAAATTAGACTTTAAGACAATACAATAAATTGAATTCTACATTTATTTCTCACTTTTTCAGTGAGAATATACAGTATAAGACTATACTAGAGGGACACAATATAAGACTAGAAGGACACAAAAGAAAAAGAAAAAAGTGGGACACACTGTGGATGTAAGATCAATATGGCCTATGACAGAGCAGGAACATGATGTTATATACAGAGCGACAGTGAATACTGCTAGCGCTAGTAGTTCCAGCAGACAATGGCGCCCATGCTGTGACCCCGAGCCAACGGAGCAGACTAGATCTCCCACAGAGGAAACATAAGGTGATTATCTGCCTGGCTGCTTAGTGTGGTGAGTGTAATGGGCCGTTGTCCATTCATAAACACTGAATGCTGGTGCTAATAGTCATGAGTGTTCCAGCTGATTCCAGTTCAGCTTGAGGTTTATCATGGATGGAATGGGAGACAATGGTGAATAATGACCAGTGTAATTAGTGGCAATCGGTCATTGGCATTTATACAAATGAACATGGCATCATTTCAGCATATATTTTTACTAAAATTGTATATTATGTATTTTATTATAGTACTTGTTTTTTTATTAGTGACCCCAAAATAGAGCAGAATCCTAAAATTCTGTTTTCAGTTTAAAAAAATTTATTTAATAATGTAATGTAATGTAATTTAATAATTTAACTGACTTTAAATAAATACTGAATTTAATAGAGATACAAATATATACTAGAACATCCCACTTCATCCCACTTATATTCTAATTATATATATACATATATAAACATGTCACATTTAATATATACTTGCAGATTTTATATATAAATTGTCATAATATCATGAAAATAATAGGTTTTCCACATATTTCTATCATGCATTAAAACACGTTTTTTGTTTTGTTTTAAAGAAATCCCAAAATCCCAAATCCCAGTTTAATCCCAAAAATTAAAGTTTCTGAGAAAGTTTCCCTGCTGCACTCAATCTCATCTCTGGCCCTGGGGCCATTGATTTTTCGCTGGAAACGTTATTGATCCACAAAGAGAAAACAATTTTTTTAATATACTCTCCTATTGACAGTGTATTCTGTTGTATGACGCCAATAACCTCTGTTTATTGACTTTTCAAATGGAGCTGACTTTGGATCATTAAAAGGTACAGTGTGAGTACATACCTGTCTGTACAGAGCGCAGATATGGAGAGCCGTATTCCCAGATGCATTTTCCACATGCATGTCGGCTCCGTAGAACAAGAGATGCTCCAGGTGCTGGATGTGGCCGTATCGACAAGCCTGCCATACAAAATGGGAACAACTAGTTCACACAGCATATCATTTTAGTGAGAAAAATGAGCAAACAGATCTTGTAACAGTTTCTTCTGAAAGAAAAGCTTCTGTGAGCCTTAAAAATTCATACAGCAGCCTACGACAGATCCAAAATTCTTTTGAAACATGAAAACATCATTAAGCCTTCAGTACGTTGTCATCTCATATTTTTCAAAGTGTCTAAAAGTAAACCAGACATGCTGCTTTTCCGTTTTCCCAGCAGAGTGCGATCAAAAACACCTCGGAAACAATTTGACTGGCATCCTGCAGTCCACCTGTCACAACACTAGATGTCAGTACGCCGTCACAATTGATGGACTTGATGATGCGTTCAACTAGTTTGATCTCGTCATCTGTCCATTAATTGAACAAAGCTGCTGTCATATAAAACTGCAGCTCTATTACAACTTCCACAGCTTCACTACACTGATGCATATATTACCTCACTCTCAACCGAAAGCTTTTTCATTGACTGTCACCAGCTAATAATGTGAAAGACAGCGGCACCTGGTGGATCTCGTGCCAGCCGTTCTCATCATGGCATCCGACGCTGGCATGGGCACGCAGTAGGACCTCGCAGCAGCTCGGGTCTCCCCCTACAGTCACTGTATGGTAGAGTGGAGTCAAGCCCTGCCGGTCCTTATAGTCTGGAGACGCTTCCAAATCCAACATAGTCTGCAGAGGGAAAAGAGGATTAGGTTTCCTTCAGAGAGGAAAATACACCAAATAAGATATTATGCTTATGTTTAAGCAGAGCCTTGTTTTTTGGAAGGGTCTTAAAGGATGAAAGGACAATTTTTTCTTGTCTGCTGCCTTTCACGCCACAGCTCAGGATAGTTGCTAGTGATGGGTTTGGGACTGTGTGTTGGGACTTTTTCAGCTTTTTTTAATGTCCATGTGTGACAAGCCAAATAAAAAATGAAGGCTTCTTAGCTTTTACACTACTGTTTAAAAGTTTGGGGTTGGTAAAATTTTTAATTGTTTTTGAAAGAAGACACTTTCACCAAGGCTGCATTTATTTGATGAAAAATACATCAGAACAGTAAAGTTGTGAAATATTTTTACTATTTTCGATTTTAATATATTTTAGAAAGCAATTTATTCCTGTGATGGCATTTTCAGCATCAATATTCCTGTCGTCAGTGTCACATGATCTGGAAATGGAGATCTTTTGTCAAATTAATACAGTGAATGCAGTTCCTTGCTGAACTGCATTCACTGTATTAATTTCTTTAAAAAAAAAAAAAATTATAACTGACCCCAAACTTTTGAACGGCACTGTATATCAGAAAAAGTGTCTTGAATTATTATAACCAATCATTAAACATTCACTTTACATTTTGGTTGTCAAACACAACAAATCTTATAAAGCATAACAAATATTTTAAAACTTATAAAACCTACAAATTTAAGTACTCTGCAAAAACATGTAACGTAAACATGTAAAACAATACATATGCATGTAAACAAATCTGCTTGATTTTTTTTTTTAGATAATGTCTTTGTTTTTTTTTTTATTCAATTTTACAAAACCAAGCAGTTTCATAACTGCATGACTAAAAGTAAATTTTCGTTTCATAACTAAATGATTACAAGTACTTTTTCCTTCTAAAATTACAAAACCCAGCCACTCAGTAATGAAAATAGGAAATCGATGGGTCTAGCACTTCGAACTGACATAAATTAAGATTCTGCATGAAGCCTTTTTAAAGTAAACAGCCAGCAAGCAATATACTGCAAGAGCAACGGCAGACAGGAAATTGTGTTTTACAATATTCAGGGCACAAAACAGTAGTACATCAGCAGTATTATTTCCAATTGTTGTCAAGGGAAGAAAGCAACAACGAAATAATGAAGAAAAAAAACTTAATTACTGATTCATTTTTAAATAAACAAAACAGAGTGTGCTTTGAATAAAAGTACAATCTGTCAAAGTAATAAATGTAAACTGTAAACTCAGCAGCATTACTGACACTGTAAGATATCACTGTACTGCTCTGTGTTAGATCAACAGCAGTCATTCTTACAAAAAACAAAGTGGCAATCAAAGAAGAGGATCACTCTAACACAGCCATAAACTCATGCCGCCGTTTTGGATGAGGTCATTTATTACCTTAAGAGCTATCTGGTTCTTTGCCCTGGCTGCTTTGTGCAGGGCAGTCATCCCATCCCGAGAGCGGAAATCTAAATGAGCCCCGCCGTTTTTCAATGTCACTATAATCTCCACCATATTGTCCAGGTGGGCAGCAAGGGTTAGTGGTGTCTCTGCAGACCAGAAACACAAAAACAAGTTCAGTATAATGTATTAGGTAAATCTCTCTTAATAAAAGCAAGATATTAATCAAGGGATTTGTATGTTTTATCAAAACAATAATTTGATATGTATAATATTGGACTATATCGGATACTTGGTGTTACAGTTGTAAGAAAAAAAAATCTAATATATAAATGACATTGTGAGACTGTAATTACGTCTTTATTTGTGACTTAATACAATGTAAATATAAAGATAAAAGAAAAATTATGAATACACTACCATGTAAGAGTTTGGGGTCAGTAAATCTTTTTTTTTTTTTTTTCAAAGAAATAATTTTTTTTAACTTTTATAATAAATAAAATTAAACTTTTATTCAGCAAGGATGTATTAAATCCTTGTGTGCATTAAATGCATTAAAGGTCAGAAGTGACATTACAGATATTTATAATGTTACAAATGTTTTCTGTTTCAAATAAATGTTCTTTTGAACTGACTCTTCATCAAAGAACCTTGAAAAAAAATATGGTTTACACAAAAAAAAATATATAGGCAGCACAGCTGTTTCTAACGTAGTAATAATAATAATCAGAAATGTTTTTTAAGCATCAAATCAGCATATTATGATATGCTTTCTGGAGGATCATGTGACACTGAAGACTGGAGTAATGATGCTGAAAATTCAGCTTTGCATCACAGGAATAAATTACATTTTAGAATATATTGAAATAGAAAACTGTTTTTTTAAATTGAAATAATATTTCATAATATTACTGCTTTTACTGTATTTTTATCAAATAAATGCAGTTTTGGTGAACACGAGACTTTTTTCAAAAAAATTAAGAATCTTACCGACCCCAACATTTTAAACATAGTGTATATAAATATAATAAAATATAAACCTACATAATAACCATTTTGTTCTAATTTTGAGGCAGAATATATAGATTATATAGACTAGAACATACAGACTATAGATATATAGTGAGAGCATACATTTAATATCGTAAAGATTTATAATCTCTGCCATCAAATCCATTAACTGACATAAAAAAAAGAATTATCACTAACGGTATTGGATATGGCCATGAGATTAAATCAGTGAGTAAATACGTTACATATTAACTGCTGAAATAGTAATGTTCCGACTACACCATATCGATTAAAAAGGAAACAAAATAATGGTGCAGTAAAGTAATCAATCTGGAACTGTAGCTTGGGAACAAAGCCTGAATAGTCCTTAATGTGCAATTCTGGAGGTTATCTGATATGGCATCCCGTACCACCAGTTTCAGGGTCATGATAGTTGGGGTCCAACCCTCTCTCCAACATCTTGGAGACTTTGTCCACTTGATGATGCTGGATATAATCCATAAATTTCCTCAGGTTGACCTTAAAGGAGGTTTAAGAGAGAACGAGAGTGCAGCTGAGGTTAAACGAGAAACACTGACAACTAATGATTGTGGAGGAAGTTAAGGAACAGGAGCGAGTGATGGAAATGAAGTTGACAAGAGTGTGAAGGGTCTCTGCTCACTTCCTCTCTCATGTTGAGATCTCTGGGACACACATGCTGCAATACAAGGCTAGATAAAAATAGATAGGAGAGCAGCTCCCAGTACAGAGACATCAGAGAGAGAGAGAGAGAGAGAGAGAGAGGGAGCACAGCTGATTTGGCAAGGCAAAGAGTTAGAGACCACTTGACGCACGTCAACTCTTACGCACAACCCAGTACACACACAAAGACCTCCAACACAATAGAGTAAGTGCCATACTCGTACAAAACATTAGAGTTTGTATTATTTAACTTCTGGATCCCGTCCTACCAACGCTATCAATAATTCACACCTCGACGCTAGCTAACAACTTTAAACCCATTAGGCTAACTACAATCAGTGGCGGCTCGTGGGTTTTAAAATAGAGGAGGCACACTAATTGTATTGGTCTGGGATCCCTGCCGATTATTATTATTATTATTTGCTTAACCACTTTAAAACGGCTTTTTGGTTGCTTTTAGTCAGAAAACGTAAAGAAAACGACATACATACAGCAAAATAATATAATTTCACTTACCTGGCCTATCACTTGAAGCAAACATCCATCCCTTCTTAAAAGTCTGTGTTAAAACCTTAAAATTCTGCCTCCCCCGACGAGCCGCCACTGACTACAATGTAGAGATGTCACCTAGCACAATGACAACATTCATCCTTTTACACAGTAAAAAGTATTCTTGTCAGTGTTATCTTATAAAAATCACGTAAAACTGGTTTATTCATTCAGAAATATTACATTTCAACAAACCGACAATGAACTACATACACTTCATTCACTGTGTCTGCCATGTTTTCTCACTGACACAGCCAAAAAAAAAACTCTGGGCTCGAAGAAAATCCAGAGTTTCCCATTTAATTAAGACATGGTGGTGGCATTAATGTGCGTTCAAATTTTAAATGCAATCTTTCCAAAATAACTTGAATGCACCATGAGTGCCTATAAGCAATCATTTATGCGCCAGCCGAGCAACTGCCATTGAGTTCAAACAGCCAGCTTTCTTCAGTTATTACAGTTCTCCTTGGGTTACGCCAATAAAAATTATTTTTAAGAGTCAGATCACGTAGAAATATCTCTTTAAGGTAACAACTACACCTTTTCATTTTTTATAATGCAGTCAGATTTTTAAAACAAACCCCTCTAAGCATTTGCCTCCACTGCATGTATAATGCACTGATATTCAGTATGATCTGAGGTGAATATCTGTTCCTCTGAAACAACTATGTACACAAAGCTGTTCCTACGTCATCCTTTACAAACCCTGGTGGCGTACGGAGCTGTAATATAATAACTTATTAAAGGAGCTTGAAAGCTCAGAGCAATGAGAGGGGGAATTTTTAATGCTGAGGGTAGCATTGTGGGGACGGGAGATAAATAGGATGAGCAATAAAGAGGAAGAGATCGAGCACAGCACAGGACATACAGTGCTGGAAGAAGTCGGCAATTAAAACTTGGTTCGGAGCTTCGATTGCAAAAACGCTCATGACCACAGTGGAAAAACTGGCCGAAACACTAAAACGTCAACATCAATGACCATCTCGCCCCGAAAATCCCGCCAAGTCCAAATGTATGTAAATGCTCCGGTCTCCTGCATTATTTAGCAGCAGACTCTAGAATGATTGCTGTATGTTAGATATTCATTCCTAGCGACTGAATATAAAAAGCAAGATTTTCAAACATTTCTTTCCTGTTTTAACAGTCATATCCTAAGACGCTCTCTCCTGCTTGCAATTAAGCAAATAGCTTCCATTTGATATGAATGTAAAAGACACAATTATCATAACGGAAAACAAGTTAATCACCCTCTGCGCATCAAAAATAGACACATTTTTGACAAATATGCATAGTAGGCTAATCGACATACGTCACAGCAACATTTTTATAAAAAAAATAAAAGTCTTACCTGTGTGTGGAGTTTTTCTATTTGCTTTTCGTTGACGTTTGGCTGCTGGTACACTCTGCTCTTGTAACGGAACTGCAAAATTAAATCGGAGTGAAAAAAACATTCTGTTTATATGCTACATTGGATTAATTTAGAAATTAATATCATCTTTAAATATTCAGTTTAACAAAATAAACATTTTGACGTGAAATACACTTACAATAATCTAGAAATAATAAAGCATTATCCAAAACGTTCCATGGTACTGCTACAATCTACAAATAAAAATTACAAATATCATGGTACATTAATAAGACAATTATTTAATACCCTATTTTATATCAGAGTACTAAAGTATTATGGTAACATCAAGTTTTTTCGTAAGCAAGATGGCATACAAATAATGTCTTTAAATAATTTATATAAATCTTAGCTCAAACAAATGATAAAATAGAAATATGTTTCATTATACTCCATTTGCAGCTCTTCTTGGCTGGTCGCTGCCTTGATAGTAATATGATTATATCAGGCCCTGAGGCTTGAATGAACATACAGGAGAACTACAAAAGGTTCCGGTTACACCAGCCTGACATCAGCCTTCTCACAGAGAGAGCTGAGAATGCTCCTGTACAGAAAGCACATCTTAAAGAGTGACGCCAGCCTCGTATCACTGCATTGGTGGCAATTTATAGCAGTTATCATCACTGTCAAAACTATTTTGTCATTGGGATCGTGCTTGACATAAATAATAAATATGAATGGATATTTATACTCACAATTAAATTATTTTGATAACTTATATTAATTAATGTCCATGCTGATTACCACAAAAACTATTTGGACTAAAAAAAGATTTTAAGAAATAAACCATTTTGCCATTGTGATTATCCTTGACATAATAAATATGAATGGACATTTGTACTCGCAGTTAAATTATTTTGATAATTATTCATTATTGTTCATGTTGATTACAACAACAAAAATAATTCAGATTTTTCTTTAATTGTAAAAATTAATAAATAATATTAAATAATTACAAAGAAATACAATAATAAAATCTGTGTTTATAGTAATGCATTTACAATGGAAGTCTATGTGTGTATATTACACTCACAATAAAATTAAAACTATTTTAATAATTATTAATGATTGTTCACATTTATTAGCAATTCTGTTGATCCATTAATTGTGAAAAAAAACATGTTAAAATTTTAAAATAATTAAACGAAAACAAAAAAACAATAAATAAACTGATTCTCCTTGACATAATAAATATGCATGGTCATTTCTTCTCACAATAAAAAGTTAATAAGATTAATTATTGTTCATGTTGATTACCACAGAAAACCATTTTGATTTGTTCCTTATTAAAAAAATAAATAAAATAAAAACACGAATAAATAAATAAATAAATAACTAAATAAATAACAATGATAAAAGCTGTTTACACTAATACACTGTCAATGGAAGTTTAGGGGGCAAGTGTACTGGAGGGTTTTAAAGCAGAAATGCAAAGCTCACATATTTGGTAAAGTGCTTAAATGGATTGTTTCGTACAAAAAAATGTGTGCTATTTGTGCTTTAAAGTTGTCCAAATCTTGCTTTCAGTGACGGCACTACTGTTCTAGGCAGATTACCTTCTAGTTCAGTGTCTACCAGCATAATTCCTGTGGATATTTGTGGAAGTACTCTGCAGATAGTGACGTCCAATGTCCCTTTCTGGTATCCTTGCACATATTGTTTCAAAGTTACATCATGGATCGAGCTTAAGTTGACTCCGCAACATTCAAGCAACAAACTAGTGACATGTTACCTCAAGGGTTGGAACGCCTTTATTGGTGGATAGCGGATAGTCTCTCAGGGGTCGTTCTTCCTCCAGGAAACCACTCTCCCGCCCGTCCACCGCTGGCTGGAAGAGCCCGTAGTTGAGCACATCCCTCAGACTCTGTGTGAGTGTACACAGGATCTGCTGCTTAGCAACCCATACTGTGGCATCAGGACTGAACCTCATGGATTTCTGGCAAAGCCACAGAGAGAGAGGAAGAGTGAGAGAGACAGAGAAACGCTCTATCAGGCCATAGCAGGTGTACAGATTAACTAGGGGAAAAACATTTGTGTGCTAAAATGTTCAAAAGGGACAAACGCAAATCATGTTTTATGACGTTGTTTGGTGTTGGCTGACTGACAGAATGACATTTTATAATTAAAATAAAAATTAAAAGGGTTATATCATACATTTTTTAGCATCTCATGAACATTTTCAACCCTCTTTTTGTGAGGTGACATGTGACATGTGGAATTAGTGCTCTGCATTTATCCCATCCTAAGTGCACACACACAGCAGTGAACACACACACACCGTGAACACACACCCGGAGCAGTGGGCAGCCATTTTTTTGCTGCAGCGCCCGGGGAGCAGTCGGGGGTTCGGTTCCTTGCTCAAGGACACCTCAGTCGTGGTATTGAAGGTGGGAGACAGTGCTGTACATTTACTCCCCCCACCTACAATCCTTGCCGGTACGAGACTCGAACCCGCAACTTTTGGGTTACGAGTCCGACTCGCTAACCATTAGGCCACAACTTCCCCGGACTTTAATTTGACAAATCTTACAAATGAAACAGTAATAAGTGTTTAGGTGCAGTCACATTAGCGAAATGTCAGCGGGCAGACAAAATCGATTGTCTATTGTCAGTAGTGTAGCGATGTATGAAACAGCTCATCTCTTTCAAACCAAGGAGCTTTCAGTTGATCAGCTTGAACCTGTTGCAAAATCTGGTGGAGAATTCTTTCGCCCTCATGTAAAATTTCCCATCGCGTGGATTCCTAATGAAATGTACAGTATTTCGCAGAACAGCTGTAAAAGTGAACGCACCTTAAAGGAATAGATCACTTCAAAGTGAAAATGTACTCAACCTCAGACCATCCAAGGTGTAGATGAGTTTGTTTCTTCATCAGAACAGATTTTGGAGAAATTTTGCATTACATCACATGCTCACCAATGGATCCTCTGCAGTGAATGGGTGCCATCAGAATGAGAGTCCAAACATCTGATAAAAGCATCACAATAATCCACAAGTAATCTACACTCAACTCAAATCCATTAATTAACATCTTGTGAAGCAAAAAGTTGCATGTTTGTAAGAAGCAAATCCATCAAGACGTTTTTTACTTCAAACCATTGCTTCATGCTAAAATACAAGTCCTCTATCTATAATATTGCTTTCAGCAGTGAAATGTGGGAGAAATGTGCAGAGATCAAGCACTATTTATATGTGAAAACAGCCCAAAACAATTCAAATCAAATATGTCAGTGGATTACGAGGACAACAGGGGATGGACTTTTACACTGGAGGAAGCGTCATTATGGACCCGTATTTTGGCCAGAAGTGATGGTTTAAAGTTAAATGCCCCAATGATGGATTTGTTTCCTACAAACACGCAGCTTTTCGCTTTACAATATGGTAATTGATGGACTGGAGTTGTGTGGATTATTGTGATGTTTTTATCAGCTGTTTGGACTCTCATTCTGACGGCACCCATTCACTGCAGAGGATCCTTTGGTGAACAAAAGATGTAATGCTAAATTTCTCCAAACCTGTTCCGATTAAGAAATCATCCGATGAACTACTCCTTTAACTGTGCATTTAAAGCCACGTGAAATAAATTGTAGTTTAATGACTTTTAGTCCATGCAGGCTTTGAATTAATTTACATGCTAGTATTGTAAACTCCTAAATACTGACTAAGTGCACTTTCACCAGCAAGCATTTAAAATGTACTCTCTTTCACATCAAACTATAAATACTGATGATTCATCCTGCACTGCACAGATTTTTGTCCAATCAAATGCTATCTGAGAATGCTTGTATCTTGGGATACTTTGAAAGAATACTTTTATCTGAATAATAGCGTCTTGTTCTTTTGGCTTTTAGAACTAATAAAATCTATCCTACCTCCTCTATATTCCCTCAACGTGACTGAGATATTGTGGTATTGTTGACACGTAAATGGTATTGCTGACATGTAAATGCAGAATATGGAAAGCTTGGATAATTGTAATGCTCAATAAATGTGACACTGACAATAACTTGCACAATATACTAACCATAACCACATCAGCTATGTGCAAACACAATTCAATCCTCTGCTTCCTCCAAAAAGAACAGTTTCAGTAATGACAGACAGATATTTTTAAAGAACCTGTTTTGAGAGAAAGCAGTAAAAACGGTTTCCCTTAGTGTCTTTTGGTTTTCAATTTTATTTACAAAAAATCTAATTCTATACCATTTTTGTCTGATTTGGTTTCAATATTACAAAAAAAGGCCTATAATAGACAGCATGCATTTGCCATAAATGATACTTTTAAAGAAGATTTTAAACAACTGTTGTATTTCACTGGTGTTTTTATGGATTTAAAAAGTGTGACTTTGGGATATTTTTCATATTAACTTTAATTTATCTGGCTTGCTTGAGTGTTACTGCAAGGGAATAACCAATAAAACTGTTACCTTAACATATGGAAAACACCTGTGTTAAATGACTCTACATGATATTGCTTTTCTGAACTTTCTTCATTTAAAGCATGACAATGTAATTTTCTACTTTATGTGCGTGAAATAGGTCAAAAATACTTGTTGCCTATCCCACTTGAATACGTTCCATTTTTTTAGTTCACCAAAACCCAAACAGCTCTCCAGAGAAGGCTGAAACTGTAAGAGGGAAGCAAGTTACTCTAATAATATAATTTAGAAAGATCCACATGGCCCAACAGCCTGGGGTGAAACAGAAGTGTATGTATGTATGTGTATGTGTGTGTGTGTGTGTGTGTGTGTGTGTGTGTGTGTGAACGCACAGTCTGCTGCAGGTCAGGGATGGTCTTTGCTACCTTGCAGGGATAATTGAACTGACTCACCAGAAGAAAATGAAAAGGCCTTGTTTATCACAAACTTGGCTAAATGAATAAATCAGCCACATTCAACTTAAAATATACAGTGAAGCCTTTGTTTATTTTCATGAATTGCTTCTAAGTAGATCAAAGCAACATTATAGTGTAACGTAAACATGCAGCGTTTACATGCAAATAAAATCAACAATAATTTATGTAATGTAAAGGTTTGTATGCACTTTAAGCTGTATAGCATATGGATGAATATAATTAGAATTCCCAAAAGACATCAAAAACCACCTTGAGTGGCCTATTGTCTTTATAAATTGGAAGCAAAAATAAAATTAAATAAATACTTTAAAATCACCTTGAGTGTCCTGTTGTGTGAATAAAATCACAGTGTAAGAAACCAAATAAAACATTAACTGGGAATTAAAATTCTAAAAAGAATAGAAGAACAAAATATCAAATAAATATTATAAAATTATAAAATAAAACTTTCACTCAAAAAATCACCTTGAGTGTCCTATTGTTTTTATAAAATTACAGCAAAATTAAAAACAAAACAAAAAATAAACAAACAATTAAATATGAATTGGAAAATAAAATAAAATAAAATAATAAAAACTTTAAAATCACCTTGAGTGTCCTATTGTTTTTATAAAATTACAGCAAAATTAAAAACAAAACAAAAAAATAAACAAACAATTAAATATGAATTGGAAAATAAAATAAAATAAAATAATAAAAACTTTAAAATCACCTTGAGTGTCCTATTGTTTTTATAAAATCACAGCAAAACAAAAAACAAAACAAAACTGGAAAATAAAACACTAAAAAATAACAAATAAACTGGAAAATAAAATAATTAATATTTTGTCATAAATGAAATGAAATAAAATATATACAGTGAGGTCTTGCATCCTAAAACTTTGTTTGTTTTTTTTTGCTAGATTTTAAACCCCACTTTATTGGGCTCATAGACTTTTGGACCTCAATGTATATTTTTATTGCCTGTTTTTTTTTTATTATAGCGGACTTAAGGTTTCCAAAAGGTACAGATGGAGCTGTTTTCTGTGTTTTGGGTTAGCACACACCATATTTCTGAAGTGTACACAAGCGTTAGACATCACAACAGGATTTCTGAATGGCAAACAAAATGTCTGGGTGTTTGGGGGGAAGTAAGCAATATCAGACAGTGACAGAGACGGAGAGAGAGAGAGAGAGAGAGAGAGAGAGAGAGAGAGAGATTTTAAATCCCACTTTAATGGGCTCACAGACTTTTGGACCCCATTGTATATTTCATTGCCTGTTTTTATTACATTGGACTAAAGGTTTCCAAAAGGGACAGATGGAGCTGTTTTCTGTGTCTTGGGTTAGCACACGCCATATTTCTGAAGTGTACACAAGCGTTAGACATCTCAACAGGATTTCTGAACGGCAAACAAAATGTCTGGGTGTTTGGGGGGGAAGTCAGCAAGCAATATCAGATAGTGACAGAGACAGAGAGAGAAAGAGAGAGAGAGAGGCTCAGACAGTAACTAAAGCAAAGAGGTCAGATGAAATATCTGACTAACGGCTCCTCGCTAAAGCTTAAATAACGGCATACGCAAACGAGACGAAGCGAGACAGCCGAAGATTAATTATTAGCACTCACCACATTCCCTGTGCATTTTGCCCCGTGAAAGGTTTGCAAATAATAAAATTGACTTTTCCATGCTAGCACGTCTTGATAATGCTAAACTACCATGTAGGTGGTCTAATAACTGTTATTGTTTAAAAATCCCACTTTGTGATGGTTAAGGTTGCTTCGTGTAAGAATTCACTTGTAGCTACAATATGTTACACAACCTAGAAACTTACAATCAGCTTATGTAATGTGTTAAAATAATGTTTATAAAATATACTTTGAATGCGGCCGTGCCTGTTAGCAAAACCAAGCCCAGGGTTTCATACGCTAAATGTTGCATGCAATAACACGCTGGAGAAAATCAGCCGTCCTGGTGTCTCTCTCCCCAGTGGCTCAGTCAAGCGGCCCTGTCATTCATCAGGACTGTCAGTGTAGGTTTTCTTGCTTGACCTTTTCAATCACCTGCCACCAAGACAGGATTCAAGAGGCAGGAAGCATTTGACGATTATCGCTTGAAGGGTACCACCAATTAAAACCTTACAGCGTGGAGAGGAAATTGCACCCACATTCATTTTAGTGCTAAGAAGCTGCCAGCAGATTTAACACATAACTCTAGTGTTGACAGAAA